TATCATGTGGAAGGTTGCTTCCAGCTATGGAGGGCCTCCGCGCGCGCGCGCTAGGTTCCCTTGTCAGGCTATGGCTGGGCTGGCAGGCGCGATGGTCGATGGGGGGCGCGGTTGCGCACGCAGCAGAACTGCGGACGCAGGCGCGCAAAAATTAGCGCTGGGTTGCGCTAACCGGCCGGCGCGATCGCGAAAAATTCCCTCAGACGATTCTAATTTCTAACTTCTGTTCCATTGTTTCTCCTGTCCTCAATAATAATAAAATTTAAAATTACCATCAAAGAATCAATCTTCATGGAAATACACACAAGTAGTCGAAATCTGCACAAACAAATAAACTAGTGACTAGTTACAAATGCAAGGACAATGAGCAGTGCGAAGGACAGGAGTTCGAATCCATACGGAACCAGACGAGCATTACGAAGGACAGAAACCAGATTGCATCATCCCATTGAAAACCTGAAAGTCGTGCGCTCGAGCAGAAAGCAGCGTGAACCAAGATATACACCAAATAAGAGCAAAGCCGTGGACTCAATCCTCAATCTACAATGTAAGCCCCCATTTCGCCTCCATCATCAATGCTTCCGATGCCGCTCTATTCTATATGGCGCTCGGCGCCCAGACTACAATCAGAAAGCACCTATAGACTAGCCCAGCAATTACCGACGCATCCAGGTTTTCTTCAGCAGCACCCCGATGTACATGAGGACCCCACCCATGCGGCACACCTCCCCACACCAGGTACTACACCCTCTTACGCGCCCCTGCCTTGTCTCAACACACAGGCTCTTTACCTCAGCGCAAGGAACCGCCACCATACCCCCTACGGGCTTCCTGTGTGTGCAGTCCGGCTATGGCTGCCACACTAGCTGCGCGCCCTGCAGCTACATGCCCTGCGCCCATGTGCGCCTCCCTCCAGCCAGCTCTCGTGCCCGGCGTGCGCTCCAGTGGCGTTGCCGCACGAATGGCAGGCGGCCACAATGTACCTGGCTCCGGCCGCCCACCCTCCTTTATGGAAAGTTGGCTGCCGGGCTGGGCTGGATGCGTGCAGCAGTCCCAGTAGATACCTGTTGCATACTGTAACGGTGCAGACCAGAACAAGAACCGACCTCTCAATACAAAGTACAAGATAGCGTAGCGGAAGACTTAGATACCAATGATCCGAACAATCAATATTGCAATGCAGCCCTGAACATACATCATCATCATCGTTCCATGGTGTGAAAGGGGTCTGGCGCTTCACACAGGAAGACTGCGCCAGCCCCAACCATACACAGACGAAGAAGAAGGGGGTTAGACGAAGAGGAGGGGAAGATGGGAATGTCGTCAACACCAAGTCTTCGGCACAGGCCCAAATAGTCCCTCGTCAAAATGTCTGAATCCCAAATGTCGAGTCTCGATCCAATGTCGTCAAGTCTCAAGTCACAACTCTCTCTCTCTCTCTCTATATCGTAGTCTGCTGATCCTGAGAAGTCAGGTGGTGAGAGGGTGAGAAGAGATGGTGGACTTAGAAGAGGAAGAAGAAGAACTCTCTCTCTCTCTCTGTGTCCAGTACTAACCTGTGAAGTTGGCGCCTTGATGCAGGTACCTCGAAGATGGAGCTGGAGCTATGGCGCCACAGGTAAGTGCCGCTGGCCTCCGCCAGCCATCTCTCTCCAACGCTACCACTACCAGCTATAAGCGCCCTGCGCTGAAGACTACTCCTACAGCTATCAGCGCCCAGCGCTGAAGACTACTGCTAGCGCTAACTACTACTGCCAGCGCTCCTCCTGAGTGCTGCGGCTGAATCCTGAAGACTACTCGTCCTACTGTCCAACTACCTGCCCGTGAAGTGCATGGGAACTTCCTATGTACTACTCGGGTGCCTCCTGACTGCAGGCGAGGCAGTCCAGGAGGCTGCTCTTGCCAATGCCGAAGGGAGGCAGGGGCTGCCGCTGCAGCTCCTGCTTGAGCTGTCGTGGGGAACAGGCCATAAATAGCCTGTTCCCGAAACCCTGTTTTTGTGCCTGAGTCTTAGGGTAGGTCGAACACAATGAGGGCCTGAAAATGGCCCTCCGTTTCAGGCTGAAAAGCCTCTGGGCCTGAAAGGCCCAGAAATAGGCTGAAAACGGAATAGGGCCTGCAGGCCCTCGTTTTTCAGTTTCAGGCTGAAACGACCGGGGCCTGTAAGCCCTATTTTCTAGGCTTTTCGGCTGAAAGTGCGGGACGGGCCCTGCAGGGCCAGTGTGGCTACGCAGTATGCCACACTACCCTTCGTTGAAATTTAGGGCATTTCGAATAGAACACATATGCGTTGAATTCGAATAGAACGGACCCTATGTGTTGTATTCGTTTACAACGCATATGCCTTGTTTACAACACGTATGCGTTATGTTCGGGGGAAGAAGGTTGCTCCCCAGGGCCCTTGCCAAATGTGCCGGGGGCTCAACTGAAGGGTCCTGGCCCTCAGTATCTGAGGCTGTGCAGCATCTTTTTCAACGGCTGTCGGGCCCGACTGACTAGTTGAAGATGCTGCAATGCAGCGACAACCAACCCACCTACCAACCCGCTTACTCCAGTTCGTGCACCCATCAACTGTTGAGAAAATGCAGACCTGACTTTTGAATCCAGATGGAACCAGATGAACTTAGAATTCCTCCTGAATTACCTTGTGGTGGGGGGGGGGAGACAGTTTCACCATGATATCTCAAGGCTGTCTCCCCCTTTGGGGAAAAAAAAAGAAAAAGCGACCCCAACCCACGGGCCCTTTCTCGAGCTGGAGCCTTCTTTTCCAGCAACCACCTCGAGGCCCCGTTGCCCTCAAACTTGACAAAATTTTAGGGCAATTTCGAAATACAGGCCTGCCTTCACTTAGGGTCGGCACAACAATGAGCTTCCACAGCATTGCATTGCCGAGGGCTCAGATCCTTGCAGAAATTACGAAGTAAATAAAAGAAAAATTATTAATTTAAAATGTCCTTATCCTCTACTAGACGTTAAACCACCAGTACATCCAGCTATCGGCCGCGGGCCCTTTTCGGAGGCCGCCCACTGCCGATTCGATTTATCTACGGCGCTGGGCCCCTATTTTCACTCTTCACTATTCTTCTTCTTCTTCTTCCTCTTCTTCTTCTTCTTCTTCTTCTTCTTCTTCTTCTTCTTTATATAATCTTCTTCTTCTTCTTCTCCTCGTTCTCCTTCTCCTTCTTCTTCTTCTTCCTTTTTTATCTACTCTTCTTCTTATTCGGTAACCTCCCCCATCGTAACGGTGACCGGGTGTAGTTAGTTCCCTCCCCCTTCGCGTCCCCATCTCCCTCTCCCCTTGTCTCATCATCTCCCTCCCCATTCGTCTCACCAGCAATCCAAAGGCCGCCAGAAAAAATACTATAATGATAATAAAAAGGCCTGAAAGGCTGTCCTGTCCAGATTTGACGGGTCATTGAATTGGTTGGGCTCAAAAGAATAAGCCTTTAAAAATAAAAATAAATAAATAAATAAATAAAATAATAATAATAATAATAAAAATAAAAATAAAAATAAATCCAATCAATAAATAAATATAAAAATATAAATAAAAATCCAGCCGTACGGACCGTACCTGTACAGGCTAGGATTGCATTTGCTCCTTTGTGCTGCTGCATTGCCATTCGCACCAAAGCTAGCTTCATCTCCTTTGTTTTGGATGACAAGTTTTGAAACTCGTCATCGATGCGCGCCGTTATTGGACGCCATGATTGATTTGCAAACGACCCCCATCGAAGAGTTCTGCAAGGACTGAAAACTTCACTTCCAGAGATTAGTTTTCACTACCGTTTCAGAACCCCCTCTTTCAGACCCTTCTTGTCGAGAAGGAGGGCCCCTTTGCAGACCCCCTCTTTCAGACCCTTCTTGTCGAGAAGGAGGGCCCTTTTGCAGACCCCCTCTTTCAGACCCTTCTTGTCGAGAAGG